CCCCCCAACCCCGCCCGGGCTGCGATTCCCGGCGGCCCCGGCCCGGGGGGGCTGGGGGCGGGGGGAGCATTGCAGCTGCCCCGGGAGCGCCCCGCCCGGAGGGGCCGAGGCCGCAGCGACCCCGGGGAAAGTCTCCGGCTGGAAGCCACGTGCCCCTCTGCCCGGAGTGCGTCCCGGCACGGTGGTCACTAGAGGGACCCCCGGAGCAGCCCCTGCAAACCGGGACGTGTGGCCCTCGTGGTGTTGCTGCCCCCGCGATCCCTCCCGCAGCGATGGATGGGGTTAGGAAATCTGGGAGGTGTGGGGGTGCAGGAGGACCGGAGTTGAGCTCTGGGAGGGAATGTGGGTGTGGGAGGTGCCAGGGGTGTAGACTGTGTGACGGGGTGGGAGAGCAAGCTTAGGGTGGGGGTGGAGGAGGAGGGGTACGGAACTTTCCTGGTTCACCCTTCCTCTGGCTGCAGTCCCTGTCTGGGCAAGAGGGGAGATGGGGGAGTTTTTAAAGGGGGTTGGGTCCATTTCACACCCTCCCTGCAGACAGACACTCTGGGCTCTGCTGTTCAGTCTGGGCTCTGCCCACCATCCCAGAATTATCCCTCCACCCCTTCCAGTGCCCCACAGCCCCTCCCCTATATCTCTGCTCCCTCCTCACTGCCCCCTGGCTCCCACAGAGCACTTCAGCTGCCTGCCTGGCCAGCCTGAAGCCTCCTGAGCAAAACCCCTCTGACCCCCCAGCAATATCCGTGCCCCAGACGGCCCCAGGCCTGCCCACAGGTGAGGGGTTTTAGAACCCAATCTCACCTACCCCGAACAAGTTCTGTCCGGTTCCAAGAAACCAGGCACAGATCCCAGGTCAATATACACTCTGAATCTTAACCACAAATCATGCTGAGCCAATCCTTTAGAATCTAACATCTAAAGTTTTATTACTAAGAGAAAGGAAAGCATGACAATAAGGTTGTTAAAGTATCATACATTACATGCATCGAATCTCTTCTTGTCTGCAGCAGGTCACCTGGCCTGTGGCCTATCCCTGTGTTCCCTTCTGGTAGCCCTTAGATATCAGTCACCATTCTTTAGGTGTGTCCTTGGCCTAGAGAGGGCTATTGTTCCATGGAGACTTGCTCATTAGCATATCCATAGGCTGAGCATTCTTAGTCTACTGCTCAATCACATACAGAGAAGCTTCCAGTATTAACATAGAGTACATATTCCTAACTTCACACACAGACATTATACAGATATATGAAAAGCATATACAGAATCAGTAGAAGGCAAGCTTTTGTTTGACACCTTACATGCCCCCCTTGTACCACTTTTGGGGGGGCAAACAACCCCCCCCATGGGTGCATGGGTGCAGCAGTAATCTGGCTGCTTCCCTAAAATCCAGTAGTATGACAGGGACCTGGAGTGCAGGGGGCAGCAGTGAGGTATAGGGAAATGGGCAAGGCCATGTCTAGCTTGTTTGGGGGGGCCACAGAGGAGTCACAGAATCTCCCAGGCTTCCCACCCCACCTCAGCTCATTCAGCTCATTGGTTGGAAGGCAGCAGTGACCTCACAGAGGGGCCATGATCCCAGCCAGGTGAGACAGGCTGCAGCCATCTCAGAGAAGGGCACTCATGGCTTGTCTGTCTGTCTGGAATCTCCTTTGTGAGGTTTCCCCTCGAGGGCAGAACAGACTGAGGGTTGCATCTGGGAGTGTCTCTGTGGAGATTTTCCTTTTCCCCAGGCTGCAGTGGGAGATGGCTGAGGCAGGCAGGGTTACAGGAGGGGCTGGCACTGAACTGAAGAGCGTTCTGGGGGATGCAAGAGAGGGCTGCAAACACCCAACAAGAACAGGATTTGAACCTATGCGTACAGAGCACAATTGAGTAGTAGTCCATCACCTTAACCACTCAGCCACCTCATCTGAGCTGGTTAAGGTTCTTTCATACTACCCAAACTCAGTACGGCTGGGAACCTTTGTGCCACTTGGCTGGCCAGGGACCCCCAGGGAGAGAAAGTTTTGGCTTTTCATAATATTCCCTGGGCTATTGTACAAAGCTCAGTGCTGGTAACAAACCCAAACACCCCCTGGGCACCCAGAGATGGGCTGGCTAGTCACAGCCTGGTTCAGAGCGCTCTCTGCAGTGGGGAGATGCCCGTGGAGCAGGCACAGGGCAGTGGCACACAACTCTGTTCACCCTGCTATGTCGCATGTGGTTCCTGCTGTCCTGTGCTGTTCTGTGGTAACTCTGTGTGTGTGCCTCAGTTTCCCTAGGCATGTCACTGCTATCTGGATTGGGATGGGAATTCTGGGTGTGACTCACTGAGGCCTGTTCTGTACTAGGCTGGGCTGGTCGGCTGAAGGGACATAAAATGCCGACCTGCCAGGGAAGCCGAATCCAGCTGCACATTGTGCGTCTCTGGTCCCTGGGCTAAGTCTGTTCTATGCTGTCCCCCTGTGATGTAACAAACCTTCTGTTCTACCTGCCAGCTAAGAGTCACATCTGGCTGTGGAGGGAGGTGCAGGGACTGCTGACTCTCCACCCCTCAGTGACACCTGGTGACTTACTGGTGTTTCTCAATTGATGCTTAAACCTACATTAATGGCACCTCAGCCTGGGAGCCTCTGCCTGAGCCTCTTCCTGCTCTTCAGCATCGTTCTTGATCCAAGGCTCATGCCAGGGCAGGAACCCTCATCAGCCCCATTTTGCCGATGGGGGAAGGGAGGCCCACAAGAGGTGGCACGACATGCCTGGAGTCGGCCAGGAGAAGTTCTATGGAGGGGGGGACAGATGCTTTTTCTTAGTGGGAGGGAGGGTGGGTGGGTGTGTTCCTGTTCCCCCCAGTGTTCCCTTTCAGATTGGCTTGTGGAGGGCTGCTGCCTCCCTCCATTTCCTTCTTGCACCTTCCCTGCCCTGGGTGCTGAGGGGCTGCTGGGCCTGGGTCAAGAGGGTGACGTGCCCAGCTGGGTTGGGCTGGGGTGATGGGGGTGAGACTGGTGGCCACATTGCCTGGTGCCTCCTGAACGGCAGCCCCTGACAGAGCCAGGCACTCCTTGGTGTGGGCTGCAGCTGGGCAGAGAAAGCACTCGTGGGGTCGGAGGTCACAGTGCAGGGGTGCAGCTGGGCTCTAAACAGGCCTGGGTCAAGAGGGTGACGTGCCCAGCTGGGTTGGGCTGGGGTGATGGGGGTGAGACTGGTGGCCACATTGCCTGGTGCCTCCTGAACGGCAGCCCCTGACAGAGCCAGGCACTCCTTGGTGTGGGCTGCAGCTGGGCAGAGAAAGCACTCGTGGGGTCGGAGGTCACAGTGCAGGGGTGCAGCTGGGCTCTAAACAGTGACATGGTGTAGGATCAGGGCCGGCCCAAGCCCTTTTGGCCCCCTCAGGGCTGGCCTGAGCCCAATGTGCGGGCCCGCCTGTGAGGCATGGGCCCACGCCCCCGGGTGTGCGGGCCTGCCCCGGGGCACTCGGCGCATGCACGCACTGGCCACAGCTGCTGGCATACAGCCCTGGGTCTACCCCCGGAGTGTTCAACACATGCGCAGGCAGGTCACAGCCACTGGTGTGCAGCCCGGGGCCTACCCCCAGGGTGCACGGCACATGTGCTACCCAGCCTGGGTTGGTCAACGCTGCTGGCACGCGTGCCGGGCCGTGCAGAGCTCCGCAGCCATGGAGGGAAGGGCGCTGCTGGCCAGCTTTGCGGGGATGCGGGTGCGCCAGCACTGTGGGTGCTGGGCACGTGGCTCCTGATGGCAGCTGTAAGGGACACCGCGCGCCCCTTACAGCTGCCATCAGGCGCCCCCTATCGGTTGGCTCCCTGGGCAGCTGCCTGGTTCGCTCATGCCTCCGTCTGACCCTGTGTAGGCTGGTCATGTAGGGTTGTGAGGCCGGTCATGTAGGGTTGTGAGGCCGTGACCACCCTGAGGTGAGAGTGTTTGGGAGCTTAAGGGCAGGCAGTGGGTGTGCTTGGGGCTCTCATTCTTACCTGGCAAGGGAAATACCATGATCATGTAGGTGGTTTTCCTAGGCTGAGGATCATCCATTGCACTTCAGGTGTGCTGAATCCTGTGATTTCCCCCAAAAGGGGGAGACTTGACTGCATAATTTATGGTAGTGGGGGGACTGCATTTGTGCTTTCCCCTAGTATTTGCTGTGAAAGAAAGAAACAGCTGTTCTCTGTCTAGGTTTTTGTTACTGCTGTTTTACAGTATTTATTTTTTCTTTCTGTCAATTTATGTAGGCAGGAGCTCTCTGCTCCTACTTGTCTGGAAACTGTGAGTCTGCGTCTACACTGTTGGCTTCTTGCGCGAGAACTCTTTTGCGAAACAATCCTTGTGCAAAAACTCTTCCACAAGAGAGCGTCCACACTGCCATGTCCTTTTGCACAAGACCATCCATGGCAGTGTGGACACTCTCTTGCACGAGAAAGCTCCGATGGCCATTTTAATCATAGGGGCTTCTTGTGCAAGAAATTCATGTTGCCCATCTACACTGCCCTCTTGTGGAAGAGCTCTTGTGCAAGAGGGCTTATTCCTCATAGGGAAAGGAATAACTCTTCCCGAAGAAGCCCTGTTTTACAACACTATGCTGTAAATTTACTTGTGCAAGAACGCTCGCGCAGTGTAGACAGCAGGCAAATTTTTGTGCAAGAACAGCTGTTCTTGTGCAAGAAGCTGCCAGTGTAGACATAGCCCAAGAGGCTGTCTCCCCTGACTATGTCCAAACTGGTGGGTTCCTGCGCAAGCAATATGCAGTTGAGGCTAAGCATGGACTATTACTGTGCCTCAAATATGTACCTGATGAGCTGTCATTTTCACGGCATGGGGGTTTGCACAAGAAGGAGCTGTCTACACTGCCCCTTCATGTTCAAGAAAACCCTTCGGCTATGTGTACACTGGCGGGTTATTGCTCAAGAAAGGCCGTTCTTTTGGAAAGTGTCCACACTTCCCACCTGCTCTTGCGCAAGAAGATTTACAGTACGGTGTGGTAAGAGAGGGCTTCTTGCACAAGAGTACGCTCTTTTTTAACAGGTGTAAGCCCTCTTGCACAGGAGCTCTTACACAAGAGGGCAGTGTGGCCGCTCAGCTGGGATTTCTTGCGCACGAAAGCCCTATGGCTAAAATGGCCATCAGAGCTTTCTTGCACAAGACAGCGTCCACACTGTGGCAGTGTGGACATGTTCTTGTGCAAGACTTCTTGCACAAGAACCCACCAGTGTAGACATATCCTTCTTGTGCAGAGCTGTTCTGCTGCTTATTTTCAAGAGGCATTTTCTTGTGCATGAAGGAGCAGTGTGGTATTCCTCACTTAGCCTCATTTGCATATTGCATGCTCAAGAACCCGTCAGTGTAGACATAGCCTCTGTGCTTTCTGTCCAAGCGTAAACATTTTTCTGCAAAGCAGGGAGATTCTAGCACCTTCTTAGGCAAGTGAGTCTGAATCCTGCACCACGACCTCAGTGGGATCTGCTGGTGAGATGTTGGTTTGCTGCAAATCCTTGGTAATGCTAGTGTTTGGCTTCCTTAGCTGCATCTACACTGTGCATTGTTGCGCAATAAGATATGCAAATGATGTGTGGGGATGAATATTGCCACGTCTCATTTGCATACCTCCTGAGCCATCATTTTTGCAGCACAGACTTTTGCAGAAGAAAGCTGCTACACTGCTCCTTCTTGCACAAAAAAATCCTCTTGTGCAGAGCCCTTCTGCCACTTATTTTCAGGAACCTTTGTGCTACTTGGCAGGGAAATCCAGTTCTGACAAGTCTCTGAGTGGCCAGTGCCAGAGGAGATCCAACATGGATCCCTAGGTCACAAGTCACAGGAACCATTTAGTGGCCCCAGTTACTGACCTAAACACCATCATAACATGATGGCTACATCTACACTGCAGCCTTCTTGTGTAAGACCTGTTTTGTGCAAGAGTTCTTGTGCAAAAGGTCTTCCACAAGAGCACGTCCACCCTGCCATGTGCTTTTGCGCAAGCGATGTGCTTTTGTGCAAGAGCGTCCATGGCAGTGTGGACACTTTCTTGCGCAAGAAAACTCTGATGGACATTTTAGCCATACGGTTTTCTTGCAGAAGAAATTCATGTTGCCTGTCTACACTGCCCTCTGGTGGAAGAGCTCTTGTGCAAGAGGGCTTGTTCCTTGTGGGGAGAGGAATAACTCTTCTGGAAAAAAGCCCTGTTTTACAATACTGTACTGTAAATTTACTTGTGCAAGAATGCTCGTGCAGTGTAGATGCTCTGCACTTTTGTGTGCAAGAACAATTGTTCTTGCGCAAAAAGCCTGCAGTTTAGATGTAGCCTAAGGGTTTATATTCATTTAAAGAGTTCACATACAATGGAAATCCAAGAAAGGTGACTGTCTTCATTAAATAGACACTCCCACAGGGGGCACTAAGATTTGAACCAAGGACCACTTGATCTGTAGTCAAACACTCTACCACATGGCAAGCACCTCTCTGCAGCCAGTATTGAGAAGTGGGTAGGGAATAAGAGGGTTTTGTATAACACATTTTAGGTGAGATGGACCCTCACAGAACCCAGATTGTGATGGACCCTACAAAGGAATTTGTCCTCAAAGCAGCAGAGCTGAGGCAGGACAGAGGTTATGTCCACACAGAAAAGTTATTTTGGAAAAATTGCTGTTACTCCAAAATAACAATGTGAGAGTCTACATAGCAATACCGTTATTTTGAAATAACTGTGAAATAACGGACGGCTAATACCGACTTCTGTAAAACTCGTAGGAAGATTATCGCCTATTCTGAAATAGCTATTTTAAAATGAGGCGTGTGTGTAGATGCTCCACTTTTGCTATTTCAAAATAGCCCCTCCCCAGGGACATTCTAAGTTATTCCCCCTGGGGCTCTAAATCAAGGTAGCTCGTCTACATTAGGGAAGCCTCCTCGGACTCATTTTGCGGTTTCCCTGCAGTGTAGACATGCTATTTTGAAATAAGCTAAGCTAAGCTTATTCCAAATTAAATGTGCGGTGTCGATGTAGCCAGAGAGTCCTGAGAGATGAAGCAGCTGGAGGGAAGCCAGGAGAGCAGAGGCCAGTCTGAAAGCTGAGTGTCCCTGGTGTTTACCCAGCCCCCATATGTAGGTCCCATGGTGTAAGAGGCTGCACTGGGGTCTCTGAATCCTGCAGGCTGAGTTCAAATCTCAGTGGGACTTGCTTGGGTGGTCCTCATGCTCCATACTTTTTGGCTTCCTTGTCCTGAGGTTCACCAACGGCAGTTTTGCTTGTCTGAGGCCCAATAGAGCTTCATCACCAGATGGAACAGACTTGTGGTTGGGTGCCTGATGCCATCACAGCTGCAAGGCAGATGCCCATCCCACCCCTGAGCTCAGCCCATGCTGGAGGCAGCCAGAGAGTGTGAGCAGAACAGAGGAGGGGAGGGAGGATTTGTATATTTTGGGAAGGGTCCTGAGTCCCGGGTCCTAGCCACACGCCTTGGAACAAAGACCAATGGCCCCTGCACAAAGTGCATTGTTAGGGCAGCAGGAAAGGGACTGGCCCCTCACCACCAGCGAGCAGGTGGGAGAAGATGGGAGTGAATCTTGCTTCCTCTCACTTGCAAAGGGAGCACTAACCCACTTGCAACCCATCTCTAGTGCTCTGGATTCAACCAGCCCCAGCAGCTTTGTGCCTCACTAGGGTGGGTTTTTACGGAGACCAGGGAGGAAGAGGGAGGGGTCTCTGGATGCGCAGAGCCCCCTGGCTCTGCCTGTGAAAAGAAGGAACAAGGGCACAGCAAAAACTTAAATTCCACTTTGTGCTTCTTGACTTTTTCAATCTAAGGACTTCGACAAAACATTGTGAATATCTGCTCCAGTGGTGCAATGGGTCAGTGCACAGTACTTATAAGACAGTACTCATAGGAGACATGCTGAGGTTGTGAGTTCAAACCTCACCTGGTGCAGTGGTTTTTAGTCCCTGCTGGGTTGTCCCCTTGCAGAGGTTCCCAAACGTTTCAGCATCACTCCCCCCTTTTTGATTTTTGAAAAACCTTCATGCCCCCCCCCTCCAAAATAGCAGGAAAACTTGTTGAGCAAAAAACCCCAAACAAACGAACTTGATGAAGGAGGCTGGGTCACCACATGCCCCCCCCCCCTGGAATTTCTACACAAACCCTCCCCAGGGGGACACGAAACCCGATTTGGGAACCCATGCCTTGCAGTGAATGCTGGGAGAGCTGGGATTCCACCCCAGAGGATGGGATCAGTAAAAATTCCCCCTTCACATATTATGGCCTCATCAGAGTGATTACTGAGGGTTCAGCCCAGGAAAAGAAGTGGGAGATGGGACAAAGTAGCCTGTCTCGCTACTTTGTCCCATTTCCCACTTCTCTTCATGATCTTCTCCAGTGGCTGGAAGGGACAGGGGCTGCTGACGGGGGCAGGGGAAAGAAAATGGGCAACGAAAACCCTGGCAGAAAGAGGGTCAAGGGTCCGATCCTCTCTGTGCTACTTGGCCTCCGCTCCTGGCTACCCAGCATTCACTCTGAAGAGGCCATAATATGTGAAGGGGGAATTTTTACTGATCCCTTCTCCTTTGAGCTAGGATCCCAGCGTTCACTGGAAGAGGACAGCCTAGTAGGGACTGAAGACCAGTGTTCCCAGTGAGATTTTAACTCACAACCTCAGCATATCTCTTACAAGTAATGCCTTAGAAGTACAGTATGCTGACCCATCGCACCACCAGAATAGTGCTTGAAACAGTTTCTTCAAAGTCCTTAGATTGAAAAAATCAAGAAGCAAAAGTGGAATTGAACAAGTGGGGCAAGAAGATCAATTCTGAAGGATTTGCACAAACCAACACCTCACCAGAAGGTCTCACTGAGGTTTGAACTCCGCTTACAGGAGTCAAAGTGCTGCTGTGTGCCTGAGGCTCTCAGCTACTTGATATTCTACTCTCCTTGCTTGTTCCAATTAACTGCTTCACCTCTCCAGACCTTGCTCCGTCTGCATGTGGCCTCATGGGAACGATCTGGCTCCCTCTCCAGCAGAGGAAGGAGAAACATTTTCATGTGTTACCCTGTATCCCCCTGCTCTGAGCTCCATGGGACAGGGAGAAGCTCCAGGAGATGGTTCCCCTGGGATCATGTCTCACATTGATCCAAAGGTTGTGGGGAC